GTCAACCTTTGAAAGAGAGATTGGCTGAGCTCCGAGTTCCTGCATGAGCCCAGGAAGCACGTGAGCTGGGAGGAAGAATGTGCCCTGTGGGTTGTGACCAGGAAGGACGAGAGCGGAGAGCTGGAAGGGACGGCCACGGATGCCTGCTTCAGCCCAGGTGGGGTTGCTCTGCTTGAGGGAGAAGGGGGAGAGGGAAAAAACGAAGGGAAAAGAGGAAATAGGGGAAAGGGAAAGGAGGAAGGAAACAAGGAGAGCCAGGAAAAAAATATTTAAAGAGAAAGGAAATAAAATGAGGGAGAGAGAAAGAAAGAGGGAGGGAAGGAAGCGAGGAGGAATGAGGAGGGAGGGGGAGGGGGAGGAGAGAAAAGAAGAAAAAAAGAAGGAGGAAGGGAGAAAGGATAGGAAAGGAGGAGAAAGGAAAGGAGGGGGGAGAGAGAGATGGGGGGAATGGGAAGAAGAAAAGAGGGAGGCAAAAAAGGAAGAACCGAAAGAAAGGAAAGGAGGGATGAAGCAGGGGTAGGAAGGGCAGGAGAGGAAGAAAGGAGGAAGGCAAAAAGTAAAGGAAAGAAGGAAAGAAAGGAAAGGAGGGATGAAGGAAGGAAAGAGAGGCCGGGGAGGGAACACAGTGGAGGTAGGAAGGAGGGAAAGAAAAGGAAGGAAGGGGGGGGCAGGAGAGGGAGGACAGTGGAGGTAGCACGAAAGGAAGGAAGGAAGGAAGGAAGGAAGGAAGGAAGGAAGGAAGGAAGGAAAAGAAAGAGAGGAAGGGAAGGAAGGAAGGGGGAAGGGCAGTGGAGGGAGGGAAGAAGTGTTTGCACCCAGCAGTGAGAAAATAGCCCCTCAGATAAACCATTGCAAAACCTTAACCTCATTCTAAGTGGGTAGGTAGTTTTTTTGCTGCCTGGGAAAATCAGCCATCCTCTTCCTCTCTCTTTGTTTTCCACGATTACCGGAAACCTACCTAGCTAGCATATGATGCCCCTCAATAAGGGCAATTTATCCTAGAAGGAGGGGGCAGTGTTCAGCTTGTAGATTTTTCCCACTCCCCACAATTTCTCCCTTCCGTAAACCTCCACGCTCACCAGTTGTTGTTGTTTTGCAAAATTGCCTGGGGGACATTCTGCGCCGAGAATGTGACATTCCCCATTCGAGGAGCCCCGGAGGCTTCTGTTTTTCTGCCTCATTCTCAATGGTAAAATTCCTTCAGTGGTTCTCTTGAGGCTGCCTTGGTGCTGGCACCGGGGACTGAGCCACGGCGGATGGCGACAGTTTCTTTGACCCAGTTCGTTTAATTTTCCAGCCTGGGAGGGAAAAAATGTGGAGAGGTGAAGAGGTTTTGGAAAGGATATGCCTTAAGTTGAAATGAAAAAACTAGGGGTTTCTACTTTGCACGAGGAAGGGGAGAAACTAAGGCAAAAAGTAAAGGAGCTAATGATAAAAAGAGAATATTTGTAGCTCAGAGTGTAACTGTGGGGTCCTTGGTGCTCTCTGAGCTGGGTGGTTTCCTTGCAGACGTTTCATGAACCAACTGGGGAACATCATCAGTGCTAGAAGGGAGGAGGAGGAGGAGGAGGAGGAGGAGGAGGAG